ATCACGGATCCGCAAAAATTCTAAGAGTCATTCCAGTTTAGTCAGGGGTGGCTAGGAACGCTTTCCTTCATATCGGCAAAAATTGCTGTGCTCCTATCCCTGTAAATCCGCACACAATAAAAATTTAGATGTAGTTCTTATGAATTTTCGGATGAAAGCAAAGTATGCAAAGCTCATATTGCGAGTAGCCAACGTCTGTTGGGTCTTTCCAAGTTTGCAAATAGGCAAGCATTTGTATTTCATAAATCTTACAGAAGAGAACTGTTTGTTGAACCACCTTTGATTCGCTATATAATGTCTCTAGCTATTCCCGCCGCCATCGTTGTTTCTTTCTATGCAAAGCCTGTATATTTTTTCTTAGTCGCTGAACTCCTTTCTCTTCTTTTTTTTCCAGATCCTCAAGTCATTTGTAACTTAGCGACTCTGCACGAAATGCGCGACAACTAACGACACAGTTGTTAGCGGTTCAGAAAAGCCTATCCTAGCGCATCAAACTTCAGGTGTGTACTGCCAAATAATTGGAGAACAAGAGAAAAAAGAAGTCACTGGAAACAAGCAAATACTAATCTTTCAAAGCGTAAAGTAGCACGCATTAGTAAATACGCATTTTGAACTATACAAATGACTCGAGGATAAGGTGATGAATTTGCTTTGCTGAAAAGCTTGCTTACAAGAGAAGGACATGGAGACCGTGGCTTTTTGTAAATTGGTATGCATCAGAATACTCGTTCTCGAAACGCGGATCTCGAAGCTATGTTCGCTTTCTGCGGAACGCTCTTCTGATTTTGAGAAGAAAAAATGTTCAATAAGGTGAACCGCAAAAATGGTTGCGCCCACGGAGAGCAAAGCGGCAGTCATTGTGCAATAATCAACAGCGCCAGCCGATGGACCATTCGACACCTTCGAAACCCGCACTTTTGCAAACACGCTAGATACAGGAGACACAGTTTTTCTGAAGAACCGTTGCGCAAATAACGAATACAGTTTTGAGATCGGCGTTCTAAGGCGAACATCATGAAATAGTTCACATATCGAAAGGCCATGACCAAGTACCCTTTCCCCGTTAGATGTTTATGAAAGAATGAGTTAACACAGACCGTTTTCGAAGTTTCTCTTCCGAAAATGACGCTGCTTATCAACATCCAAAACACGATTATAAAAGCTCCCAGCCTCTTCATCCCCATTTATTTATCATGGTCAATCCCGTTACAACGCCCGAAAGTGTTCATTCGCATCTACTTTTCATTCTTGTTGTGAGCAGTTTCTCGTTCTATGAAACTCAGCTCGCCTCAGAGTTCGCTCGTAGTATCCAGACCATAGGCAACTGTGGATTGCTTCCAAGAAGTGAAAGTTGAGTCTGCTAAAACAATGAGCTTTGTTGCAGACAACGTATGCGCTGCTTCTCATATTCATTGTCGCCGGCGGCGTGAAGACCCTGGAGGTGATTGTAGGTGATGGATCAGCAGGGACAGAAAAGACAGCAGAAGAACTCGGAGAGCAACTGCAAGCAATCTTGGTACCAAATTATGCTGCCGCTTTTTTCCCTTCTATCAACATCATAGGTGCTAATGTCATGCGTACTGCATTGTGCAGCCCTAGTCTGCACCATCATTTGTATACTGTTCAATAATATCCCAAAAATCAGAGTTAAGATGCCAACAATTGTTGTGAGTTGAAGATCAACTTGACTCTTGTTTTAGCAAATTTTATGAACTTTTACAGGTAGTCGTGATTCTTGTCTTTGCCGCTTCCTTCAACGCAGTTGCAGCTATTCTATTATTCATATACAAACCAAAGGATGAAAAGCAGGAACCCGTTATGCTTGCAGCTGCGGTGTGTGGTCATAGTTATTAATTGATCAGTACTGTAAAACAACGC